TATCTTTCAAATATTGCCGAATGTTATTTTAACAATCACCTCTCAAGTTCTATTTTGTAATAAATGAATTTCTTTTAATCAAATAGATTAAAATTAATTGACTCCTGACTTGACTATAGGAAGTTTTATGTTACACAGAAATTTTCACTACAATGTTTGTTATCATGGAACCTTACCTGTGTAGGATGCAGATAAATCAAAACGTAAAGTTTACTAGAAAGAAAATGTTATAATTGTGTCCCCCTAGAAATTCAAAAGCTGAAGTCCTAAGCCCCAGGAGCTCAGAATGTGACTGTATTTGGAGAGAGGACCTCTTAAAAGTTACCTAAGTTAAAGTGGGGCCTTTAAGATGAATCTTAATCCAATATGACTGGTGTCCTTAGAAGAGATGAGGACACAGAAAACACAGGGAAACAACCATATTAAGACCCAGTGACAATGCAGTCTTCTACAAGGCAAGAAAAGAAGCCTCAGAAGAAACCAATCCTGCCAACACCTTGATCTAGCCTCCAGAATTGTAAGAAAATACATTTCTGTTGTGTAAGCCACCCAATGTGTGGTATATTGTTACGGCAACCCTACCCTAGCAAATGAATACAGAAGGCCATCTCATTTAGTTAAAAAATCTCAATTAAAAAGTGGTTTTCTGAGGAAACTTAGCTTTATTCTAGAAAAAGAAAACCTGGAATATAGAAAAGGGAAGATCTCATGTAGGGCAGAAACAAACATACAATAAAGCAGAAACAAATCAACAAAAGAACCCCTAAAATTTTTAAATGCAAAAAATGTTAAAATTCCATGACTGATCTGATCGTACAGGTCTAGGAAAACAAAACACAGGGCATAGGGTCCACACAACATTAATTCAAGATACACTGTTACAGAGTTCTCAGAAACGCAAAAATATTCTTTTAAAATAATTAAGAAGTACTTACTTCCTTCCTCGAAATAATGGGGAAGCTGAGGTCTGTATTGGACTGACATTTCCATATGTCAGCTGCTGTAATGACGCAGCTCTAGACAAGCTATCAAAATCAAAGAAAAGAACAGTAATAATATACACATTTTTTCTTTAAAAACAAAACCAATCTCTTTAAAAAAATTAAATACTTCCCTATCAAAAAAAAACATGTGACAACATATTCTCCATGTTCGAAAGTTTCATACAAAAAGGGCTTGTGTCAAATAGAAAATGAAATTTACCAACAACATGGGCCAAAATATCACCATACTTACTCCGCATTCTGAAAGTTGAATTGTGCATCTATAAGCTGCTGGTGTGAATAAACAGTAGGTGACAGGGTAAAGAAGTTATTATGTTGTTGATGATTTGGAGTGAAGGGTGGGCGACCCAAAATTGAGTTTGGGAACATGCTCTTGTTCACTGGAAGTGAACATGTATTCTTCTACCTAGGATAATTTAAAAAGACAATATTAAATTATTATAGTTTAAAGATACTAAACACTTCTATTATCCAGTAACTTAAAACAATTAGTTATCAAGTTACAAATTTTATTTGCAAAGTTAAATAGGTCTCCTAAGTGCCACTGTAGGTAACAAAAGGAAACTAACAATAAATTCTAAATCTAAGATTAGCATTATTCAGATGCAAGATACATGCACATTTCTAATTTTCTGATGAATTTACCCTACTACATTTACCCTCATATCAAAAAATCTTTTAGAAAATCAAGTTATCACCTGACATTAATAAAATCCCACAGATTCTTACATTTATTCTCAATCTAATTTATACAAAGGTATAAACCATCACATGACATCCTGATTCCTAGAATTTGGTTCTTACAGGTCCAATCAAATAAGGAATGGATTTTATATTGTCTTAACAATTTATAAAATTCTGAGATTCCCCTCAAAGTCTACATAATTTATATAAAAGATTTCCAATAAAAGAGGGCTCTGTTCCATAGGAATAGGGAAAAACTATACAAAGCAATCAGAATCCTTCACTGATCCAGGGAGGAAAGTAGATATTTATTCTTTGCAATGACTCATACACCAAGGTTGTAGTCTTACAAAGGATTGGATAAGGTAATAAACTGAAAACGAGTATCAGGTAAAGTCTACAAAGAAAAATAGGACCCCTCAACCCACTTTCTCAAAGCAAGCAATTAGAAAACTCTTTTATGAAAAAACAAAATGACAGAGAAACTATGTAACATAGTAACAAGAGAACCTGTAACATAATAATACTTGGGAATGCATCAAGAAAATGTCAAGCTAGCTACCTAATCAACTTAACATGAAGCCTACTAGTTGACAGGCCCTACCCACACATTTTTAGAGTTTCTAATTAGACTCCTGATATTTTCACTTAAAATAGGCATCCATGGATCACCAGAAGAAAAATAAAACCTGGGAATAAACAGAAACAACGTCAGGAACAAATGAACACTCAAAAAAAAAAAAATCTCAGATTAATGAAAAGACATTGTATATATAAAACAAGAATATGCTATTTAAAAAGAAAGGGGCCAGGTGCGGTGGCTCACACCTATAATCCCAACACTCTGGGAGGCAGAGGTGGGAGGATTACTTGAGCTCAGGAATTCAAGATTAGCCTGGGCAACAAAGTAAGACCCTGTCTCTATAAAAAATTAAGAAATTAGCCAGGCACAGTAGTGTGTGCCTATGGTCCCAGTTACACAGGAGGCTGAGGTGGGAGGACTGCTTGAGTCCAGGAGGTCAAGGCTGTAGTGAACCATGTTCATGCCACTGCATTCCAGCCTGGGTGACAGGGCAAGACCCTATCTCAAAAAAATAAAATAAAAAGGCTGTGGGAAATTATAAAATTGAAAGCAGAACTATCCAGAAGAAAGTTAAAAGGTAACTTTGAGGAAATGTATTAGAAAGAACAAAAAGGAAAAGTTGGTAGGGGCAGGAAGGAGGCAAGACAATAGAAGAGAAAACAGAAGACTATTAAACTATGTAATCTAACATAACAGAAGGTCCAGGAAGAACAGAAAAAAACACAGGACATCACCTAACAAATAAAACAAAAAAATGCCAAAGACTGAAAGACACCAATCCTCAGATTGAAAGGACCTAAAGAGTACAAAGCACAGTAAAAAAGTTACATGTCAAGGTATATTATACTGAAGTTTCCGAATATTACACAAAAAAAAGCAGTTTATAAAATATTCCAGAAGGAGAAAATGGTATAAACAAAGGGCAAGCAATCAAAATGGCTTTGGACTTCTCAATAGCACAGGACATGGACTCATGACTTCAAATCTCTGATGGAAATGCTCTCAGGCTGAACTTCTATACCTAGCTGTACTATCAAATGCAAGGGCAACTAGAAACATTCTTAGACAGGTAAGTTATCAAAAAAGAAAACGAAAACCTGGAATCCAGAAAAAGGGAGATCTGATGTAGGGCAGAAACAAAGTAAATTCCCCAAGATGACAGTGTTGGGAAACTAACGGTTCAAATTAGAATAGCAGGATGCAGGGCTTCAAGAAGGTATCTAAGTTAAAAAAAAAAAAAAATCAACTGGTAGATTACCTGATGTATTTGACCACAGAGAAAAGTTCTGTTAACAGAGTAGAAATAATTTTAGAAATACAGAAAAGTAGCTAGTTAAAAATAAATTACCAAAGAAAAAAACACTCAACAGGTAATATAAAAAAGGCAATATAATCATAGTTACCTACCTGATTCTTACAATAAAGATTGAATATACTGATTTTTTTAAACTGAGCTACCATATAAAATTTATTATATATTTATTTATATATGACATTATAGTATACATTTGTGTTTATATATCACAAGTTTTATATGGAGGATGACAGAGGGTACAAAAAGTGCTAAATCCTCATTTGCAGTAAATATAAATCAAAAGAATGAAGTATAGAAGCTTTACTTTACTTTTCTTTTTTTTTTTAAACAACAGAGAAAAATAAAACTAGGTAGCCAGAAGAATCGAAATAGTCGCCTCTGGGGATTGTGACTAGGAGGGATGGAAAAAACTATAAGAGACAACAGGGAAGAGAAAGAAAGATCTGGGAAGAAATAAATAAATCCCTCACAAACATTGTTCCTTGTTTTTTCAATTCCATAAGATTAAAATTCCCTAGGTTTGCCACAGATAACAAGGCTCACCAGTCCAGGGTTCATAACAGATTGTGGACAAAATTCTATGAACCACCATCAGATCTCATCCCAAATGCCTGACTCTAATTTGGACCAGAGACAAGGTTAACCTCCAGAAAACAAGTCTGTCAACTTTTTTAGCAGACCCTTATGTCTTTTTATAAGAGATTTTTAAAAAAGAAAATAATCCTATCATATTTCCTCACCTTTACACCCTAGCTTCTTCAGAGGAAATGGACAAGTATCTCGAACTAAGCAGCATTCCAGGGAATCCCCTAGTAAAAATACATACAATAATCCTGGGCTGGGCAGTT